GTTGAAGATAAAATGTTGAAAGTGAAAATTGGTTTAAAAATTTGGTCAGTCAGAGATGTCAAAATATTTTTTGTGTCAAATAGGAGGCATAATGTGTTCTTTTTGTTTTTGTTAATTAGTAATTATCACTACTTTTATTGGGTTCTACATGTTGTATTCATGATTAAATGCAGCAAAACAAACTAATTCTCTAACTAATAATTGGTTTATTTACATAATAACTTTAATTGCTGGATGTTCGACCCCTCAGCTGTTGACCGGCAATATCTGTTGCCCCCGGAGCAATTTAGTTGAATAGCCCTGCTTTAAACATTTTCACAAGTRTTTAAAATGTATTGTTTGTTCAAAAGCTGAAAAAGAAGTGTTTTGTAGAAATAAAGATTTTCACCAAAGCAAAGTGAAGCATTTGTCATTTACACTGTGTTTCTGATGTCTTTAGGTATGAAAACAAATATGTGAAGTTTTTTAAAAGCAAACCAGACCTGCCTCCGGGCCTGAACCCTTCTGACGCTGCTTCCCCACAGCAGCAGCAGAAGATTCCTGGTAATGGAGACTGCGAGACACCCGGCCTCTCAAAGTCGGCCAAACGCAACATGAAGCGTAAAGAGAAACGGAAGCAGCAGCAGCAGCAGCAGCAGCAGGAGGAGGAGGACCAGGACGGTGAGGCAGAGGTGGAGTCGGTGAGCAGCGCTGTCGAGAACGTGTCCATCTCAGATAGAGGCAAGGCTGCGATCAAGACGGAAGGATCGCCCTCCGTCTCATCTCCGGAGGATTCCTCGGCAGCTGTGGCTGAAAAGGCCAAAAAGATCAAGAACGTGAAAAAGAAGCTGCGGCAGGTGGAGGAGCTGCAGCAGAAAGTGGACTCGGGGGAAATAAAGCAGCCAACGAAGGATCAGCTGGAAAAGTTGGGCCGAGCCAAGGCTTTACAAGAGGAGTTAGAGCAGCTGGAGAGGGATTGTTGAAGCAATAAAGACAAGCAGAAGAATCAGACTGAACATACACATTATGTACAGGAAAAGACCTTTACAGCTTGGAGATCATGGCTTCCAAAAATATTCCACCACTTTGACATTCAGTATGAACAACGGAAGCAAACGCTGCCCTAATTAGGGACAGGATGTTTACGTGGGAGACGTTACATCTACACAGCGGAGGAACTAATATTTTTTAAGATGTCTACATAATGCTGGGTTCCTGTGTCTACAGACACATCAGCCACACCAGTCATTTATAAATATCTTTTAAACTGATCATTGTGACTCATTTTGTGTACCATTAACAATGTCATCAGGAAGCACACGAGGTAGAAAAACAAAGTGTTTTGTGTTTAACTGAATTTCTGCTCTCAGTTTTTTACCCTTCTGTCGATGTCAGTGACTGGATGCCCTTTGGTTGTCACATTAATGTCAAGTCTCCATTTATTAAGACGTAAGATGCTTTAAGTATTTTTGGCTTTCTTTTTTTTTTTTTTTTGTAAACCATGCTCTAAAAATTATGTTTGAAAGCTTATGTCCTGGTCACATGACCAATTTAGTGGGAAAGATTTGCTTTTAGTAAAAATCTGTTCAAAATTGTGTCAAAATTACAGACTTCAGGCTATACATCAAATTTTAAATTGTGTTGAAAGATAAGTAAATTACAGAACTTTTTTTTTAATGTTTGTCATATTTGAAGCAGAGAGGAGCACTGAGCGGACTCTGCCTGGTGGCATTAATCGCATTAATCATCAAGTGCAAAAAATAACCGGTTTTTTTTTTGACGATTAATTGCACACGATACGATTATGCCCAGCCCTAGTGTGTCAACAACATAAAATAACAGTTCACTGGAGGATTGTGTGTAGAAGGCTTTCATGTAGTTTTGCTTGAGCAAACTGTGCTAATCGTTTGTAGCTTTTTCTTTAAGTGACAATTTTTTTGTTTTTGAGTTAAACAGCAGCTTTTGGAAGAGTTTCTGGAGTTGGGTCAGTTTTTTCATTCCAATGTTCAGGAAGACATTTCTTAATTTTCTTTCCCCTCTTTTGAGGTTAATATAGGGGTTGGTGATTTACAAATACTTAAAATTAGGAGTGTAATGAAGGGGACATATGCAAAATCCACTTTTTTTAGCTGTTAAATACATTTTGTTGTATTTGGAGTATCTAGGAGGCAGAAAAGTGCTGCAAAGATATCTTTATATTCTGTTTGGTTCATATTTTTCAGCCTGTTCAGTTTTCTCTATTTTCTCTGACATTCTTTGAACTATTAGGTCAAATTATTTGTGACAGAATTACCATATAAGGTCTGGACTTACCCACTACAGTCTCCTCGTCTTCATTCTCTGGTTCTGGGTCAGACTCTGGTTCCAACATGTAAAGCCGGATGGACAAGTCTTCTGTTGTTGACATCTTTCAATTAAATTGTAAATAAAACGTCTGCATTGCTAGAAAACGTAACTCCCCCTCTCAAACAGGAGTGGATCGGTCTGGAAGCTGGAGGTGGGCGGGGCTTGAAGTGTCTTAAAGGAACAGTGACAAAACAAGCTGCTTTGAGAGACATGTCAGAGAGCGGCTGGTAAATAAGACTGAATTCAAACCAAAGCATTGTAATTCCATTTTCTAAAGACCCCAAAATGAATGATATAAATTTGAAAAGGAAAGATTTAAAAGCATGATATGTCTACTTTAGATTCAATGATGTATTTGCAAATTGTCATATGATGTTTAAGTACAAATGTTTTAGAAATAGGAGCAAAGAGGTTTGAGATAGTGCCCCTTAAGTACAGCTCATAAAAAATAGGCTGAAATATACATATAAACTCAGCTGAAGCTCCTAAAGTTTAATCTTTATAACAGCAAGTACCATCAATGGTTTGTTAAATGTAACATTTCAGTAAATAAATTTATAGAATCCTGAGCTTAAAAGCAAGCAACTGGACTTGTCGCTGCTTCTCAACTCATCAGCTTTTTCAGTTCAAATCAGAAGTGAGGAATTACAAGTTTTTAAACTGTACAAGATGACAGAAGAAAAAGAACACAAACACATAAAAAAGCTTTTCCATCTTGTGGGTACCTTCACTGGCATTTGTCATCATGTCAGACAGAACAAAACACTGAACAAGGAGGAAAAGAACAAAGAAAGACGCTGTAATCCCATATGTTGCTGGAGTATCTGAGAAACAACAAAATATCTTCAAACGCATCCTGGTGATTTTAAATCTAGCTGATCCAAAAAGACCAAACAAACTGAGCAGCGTGATGTGTGAAGTTCAGTGCTGTCAACAATAAGACCTCTACAGCGGGTAAAATAAGTATTGAACACGTCACCATTTTTCTCAGTAAATATATTACTAGAGGTGCTAATGACATGAAATTTTCACCAGATGTTGGTAACAACCCAAGTGATCCATACATACAAAGAAATCAAACCATAAATGTCCAGAAATGAAGTTATTTGTAATAATGTGGAATGGCACAGGGAAAAAGTATTGAACACATGAAGAAAGGGAGGTGTAAAAAGGCATGGAAAGCCAAGACACCAGCTGAACTCTCTCAGTAATTAGAAAGCAAGCCTGCCCCTTGTCAGTGCAARTTAATATCAGCTGGTTCAGTCCCAAATGATGGCCAGGTATCACACAAGAACCATCTGATGATGGGTAAAAGTAAAGCGCTCTCTCAAGACCACAACCTTATTGTTGCAAAGCATAATGATGGCATCGGTTACAGAAGAATGTCTAAACTTCTGAAGGTTCCAGTGAGCACTGTTGGGGCCATAATTCAGAAGTGGAAAGAACATCATTTCACCATAAACTGACCACGACCAGGTGCTCCTCACAAGATTTCTGACAGAGGAGTGAAAAGAATTATCAGAAGAGTTGTCCAAGAGCCAAGGACCACTTGTGGAGAGCTTCAGAAASACCTGGAATTAGCAGGTACGATTGTTTCAAAGAAAACAATAAGTAATGCACTGAACCACCATGGCCTATGCACGCTCACCACGCAAGACTCCACTGCTGAAGAAACAGCATGTTGAAGCTCCTTTAAAGTTTGCTGCACAACATTTAAACAAGCCTGTGTAATACTGGGAGAATATAGTCTGGTCAGATGAGACCAACATTGAACTGTTTGGATGCCAGAATACACATCATGTTTGGAGGTCAAATGGCACTGCACATTAGCCCAAAAACACCATACCAACAGTGAAGTTTGGAGGTGGGAACATCATGGTGTGGGGCTGTTTTTCAGCATATGGTACTGGCAAACTTCAAATAATTGAAGGAAGGATGARTGGAAAAATGTACAGAGACATTCTTGATAAAAATCTGCTTCCACCTTCCAGGATGATGAAGATGAAACGTGGCTGGACATTTCAGGAAGACAATGAGCCCAAACACAAAGCCAAGGAAACTCTCAGTTGGTTTCAGAGAAAGAAACTAAAGCTGCTGGAATGGCCCAGCCAATCACCTGACCTGAATCCAACAGAAAATCTATGGAAAGAACTAAAGATCAGCGTTCATAGAAGAGGTCCACAAAACCTTCAAGATTTGAAGACTGTTTGTGTGGAAGAATGGGCCAAAATCACACCTGAGCAATGCATGCCACTAGTTTCTCCATACAGGAGGCGTCTTGAAGCTGTCATTGACAACAAAGGCTTTTGTACAAAGTATTAGATAAATTTCAGTAAGTGTGTTCAATACTTTTTCCCTGTGCCATTCCACATTATTACAAATAACTTCATTTCTGGACATTTATGGTTTGATTTCTTTGTATGTATGGATCACTTGGGTTGTTACCRACATCTGGTGAAAATTTCATGTCATTAGCACCTCTAGTAATATATTTACTGAGAAAAATGGTGACGTGTTCAATTCTTATTTTACCTGCTGTATRTTGTAGAAAGTAAACATCCTCTACACAGACACACAACTCAACACATGGGAGAAGACTCAGCTGAGCACCTACACCTCAACTGACGATGAACCTGGAAAGACTCACACACAGAAATGTGGCAGTTAAACAGTTTTATTGATATGAGAAAGTTATTTGGCGCTCGAGCCCCGGCAGAAGACGAGGGTGCAGCGACCCGCTGTGAGCTAGCAATCAGCTTAGGTCCCCCCGGGGCTTGGACACTGGTGGTGGTGTGGAGGCCAGAAGGAAGGGCCCAGGAAGAGCCTGAGATGAAGGTGGAGGCAGGGTAAACATGCTAGGAGAGCAGACTGATCCTTGGGTGCTGGACCTTTAGACCTGGATCCCTGTGAGATGATTGGTAAGGTGAGGCGAGGATTTGATGCTGATTGACTGCAGCTGGGAGTGTGATGTGGTGATTGGATGGAGCAGGTGAGGTGGAGAGAGTCTTCCAGTCTGAATTTGGCTTTAGCCAAGTCACAACAAACACCTCAGGGCACTGTACACAAAAAAACAACCTAAAGAAGCCAGCAGATTGTGTTGATTCTTCACTTCATCACTGTCTCCCATCCTGAGCAGCACATTGGCAGCAGTGAAAAGGAAAAAAAAAACTCCCTCATATCAGGAAGAAACCTCCAGCAGAACCAGAACCAGGACAGGCAGCTATCGGCCTCGACCGGCTGGGTTTGGGGAACAGGAAAAAGACACAGAATCACAGGACTGGTCCAGGTGTATTTTCCTCTGAAAGAGAGACAAAGAAAATTATGTCATTGATAGAAATAATTACAACAAACATGTAGAGGAGAGAGACTAAAGACAACAGCAGAGTGAGGAAATGTCCTCAGTTTGTGCTCCAGCAGCAGAACTAAGAAATAACTCAGGAAACCAACYCTAACTATAGGATTTATCAAAAGGAAAGTCTTTACATATATATACAAACAATATAAAATCAATATAGAACACAGGTAAGTAAAAAGATAAATAGTTCCACAATAAATGCAATATGCCACATTAATAAGAATGTGACCTTATTCTACAAAAAATAAAATAAAATAAACAGTCCTTATTAACTTAAAGTCTATTTTCAACTCATCCACGCTTCTATCTATTTTTTTCCTTGTGTCTGTGGTCAGGTAGTGAGCTAACAGGTTCAGCAGGGACACAGACATCCCTCTCACTCCAGCTCCTTCCTGTTGGGACAGAGAGGCATTCCCATGTTATATAATCCCTCCAGTAAGTTCTGGGTTAACCTCAGGGTATCCTCCTAGTGACACTTGTTGTAAAACGTCTACAGGGCAACGCCAAGCAGGCATCCTGAACCACCACAGCTGACTGCTTTCTGTTTGGAGGATCAACAGCTCTACTCTGTTACATCTGAATGACGGAGCTCTTCACCTTCCCACCCCAAAGAGCAGAGGTCTATAAACTACTTCAAATAAATAACTAAGTAAAAGTAAAAATAACGTAACAGAAAATGAACAGAAAACTTTACATGTACTTGAMTCGGTTTAGCAGAGGTTTATACTAAGTATATTTACTTGGTTACAGTACTTAAGTAGTTCTTTTGAGGATTTATAATTTTATCAATTATTTCTTTAAATAGCTACTTTTACTTCATTAAAGCTAAAAATGATACTTTTACTTCTTTACTTTAAAATGTAACACCTAGTTACTTGTTACAAAATTAAATATGTTCAAACTCATCATGAAAGAAGATGTTTCTGCACTCTAAAAAATGAAGTGTTGAATTAACTCAACAAAGTTGTGTCTACTGGCTCCACTAAGCCTAGTTGAGTAAACTGAGCAAATAATACACATATATTACTCAATTTACTAAACCAGGCTTAGTGGAGTCAGTTTGGTTCAGTAAATTCAACAGTTTATTTATTAGAGTGTGTAAAAGTACTTTTACTTTCCCAATTTTTGTGAACAGTTTTATGACTTTTACTTGAGTAGTTTTCTAATCAGTGACATTCATTTTTTTTTTTACCAAAGTCATTTTCTGTTCATGTAATTTTACTTTTACTTAGTTATTTTTTTCCAAGTACTTTATAGACCTCTGCGGTTTAGTGTAACAAGCTGACACACAGTAACTTGGTTCAGTAAATTCAACACTTCATTTTTTAGAGTGCATATACAACTCCTGTCATTATGAGTTCCAGTTATATTTAGATTTGTAACATGTAACTAGGTGTCAAATTTTAAAGTAAACAAGTAAAAATATAATTTTATGTTTTGAATGTAACAAAATAAAAGGTGGATCTCCGAGAAGAACAGTCGACTAGCTGCGGGCAATCTTCCGGTCCTTGGAGCTATCCTGCCGACAACGCCAAATTCTGTCGTGGAAATGATTTACCAAGAATGCAGAAACACGTTGGAATAAATGCACAGAAAGTCTGCGTGTATGGTCGTCAATTATGATTTAATTCTGAGCGACAAACAAACAGAACTCAATCAGGAAGTCTGTCGGCTTGTGGCTGTTGTCAGCAGACAGCAAGCCAATAATATAACATCATGATAACATCATGTGACAGTTTACAACCAATCACACATCGACGAATGTACTGCCCAGCCAATCACAGGGCTCTCAGCTCAAAGAGTTCCTTATCAAACAAGAGAGGTCAATCCCTCGCTGGAGTCCTGTAGTCTGGGCCAAAACAGATTAACAGCCGAAAACTATTTATAATAAGATATGGTTACTGGACAGTGTCAAGGTAGAACAGATATACATAATTAATCCATAACAGTTACTATTAAAAATACTTGGTAAAATTATAAATCCTCAAAAAATAACCTACGTGCTGTTATAAAGCAAAAGTACATATTTTATATACCTCTGCTAAACAGAAATCTCATTTTAGCTGTCATCCTGTTATGCAGGTCAAAATGTTAATGACAGGTAAACTGAAAACTTCACCATCTTCACCAGCTGGAAGAAAGCCCTCACTGTGGACTTTAATGCTTCAGTTGCTCCTCAATCCTGCCTCCACTCAAGAACAAGACTCCCAGACTCCCCTGGGATTTTATGAGACAGTATTTTCTGTGATGAAACGGAAACAAAAAGATGTTGTCTTCTGTCTTCAGTCAGAGGCATTTTGTCACAATGATTGCTCAGAGGCGTTACTGGGTTTGCTTCTATGGCCTCTTACATTAAGAACACTATAATTAGCTGCTGTTGTTCCCATAGGGGACATGCGGTTACTTGTTTTCTTCAGAGTGGCAACTATAAAATAAAGAATGCTCAAGATTTTGCTGAATAAACTCCAAAGTTTTCCCAAATAAATCGCAACTGGGCAACAGCAGAAAGAATTTCTGTAACACATGCAGAGAATAAAATAATACCATTAAATTCATATCAAAACGTGATTCTTCCGCCACAAATTCAAAGCTGTTCATTAGTCAGCAGTTTTCCCAACTGGTGGGCAGTAGATTTCTTTTTTAGTGCTTTAAATCCCTTTTTTTTTGTTCCCTGTATTGTAAACAGTTCTTGGAAGTTATTTTGAACATTTTAAGACAAAAAGCTCCAAATGATGGTCGGTAAAGTTTTGATTGTGCAGTTGAAACATGTCTGAGTTTTTTTTAAGGCAGTCCACACATCACATTCCTTGTCAGAGTTTTATTGTGTGGTTTTGTGGAGCGTCTGGAACAAATACTTGGTATAAAAACTCAATGCCCCACACTAAAACACCAGCGCCAGTGTCGAAGGACRAAGGATGGCTGTAGCGATTGGAAAGATAGAATAGTTGAACATTCATTAGGATAAAAAGTTGTTCCATTTTCTCGCATCTTTTTCTGATTCTTCTTCAGTGTAATGGAAAAGGGCTCTCACCAGAAAATGGACTGTAGGTTGGAGTTAATGGTGCTTTTTGTTTTGCTGGCAACAGCCTCATCTATTGCTCGGAGCAACAAAGACATTGATGAAGCAATGGTAAGAAATCAGAAAATAAGTGGAGCTGCTATAATATAACCTGAACCACCGTAAAAATAGACGACTTTAAGAGAGTTAAGAGAAAAACATCACATTTAATAGTGAAAATCAGACACAAAAAATATAAAATAAAAAAAAAGCCATGGGAATTGAAAAAACTAATGCT